CCAGGGCCACACAGGTCCCTCGGTGTCTGGGAGAGGAGTTGACATCCTTCCAGCTCCAGTGTGAGCCTGTTTTCCAAGTGGACTGGAGCAGGGAATGGAGGAGCAGCCTTTGGGCTCAGGGTGCTTTGCTAAGCAGAGCTCTGCCCTGAACTCCTTTCTGAGTCCCCCAGGACTTGTTCTGGCAGCACCAGCCCCAAGTGTGAGCCCAGCCGTGGCTGAGGCACTCTGGTAATGAGCCATGTGCTCCCAAGGCTTGGCAGGGACCCTCTGGAGCCCAGCTTGCCAGCGGGCAGCCCTGCTCAGCACTTTTGGGAAGGTCTCCCTTGCCCTCCCCTCGCCACTCTCTCCCCTCCTCCAAGGGTCTCTCCTCTCTGTGCACTCGAAAGAAGTGGGGAGGGAAATCACAGTGTGTTTAAACACTGCCAAATGGTGAAAAATAACATCTGGAGAACAGCCTGGCCCTTCACAGAGAGTCCTCCACCTCCACATCTCCCAGCAGGGAACAGATCCAGAAGGAGCCCCTCAGCTCAGCACTGGGGCCAGCTCTCCCTGTGGGTGCCACTGGCTTGGGGACAGCAGCCACTGACCAGGGGACAGCAGGTGCCCAAGAGCCCTGGAGAACTGGGGCTGGCTAAAGCCACACTCACTGCTGGGAGATTTTAGAGAGCAAGGGAAGCTCAGCCAGGGGTGACTCCTTGCCCATGCCTGTGCCTCCATGCTGGCCCATCTCCCCCTTCCCCCAGGAAACAAACCTGCTGCATTCGAGCCTGTTTCCACAGAGGCTCTTCCAGCCAACATTAACACACTCTGCTTTACTTCCCAGCATGGCCTGGGGCAGAAAGCAACATCTGAACCTAATAAAAAGGCTGCCCTCCCCCTCAAAGAGACCCAAGAGCAACCTCTGCTATTTGGTTTCCAACCTCTGCTGTTTGGTTTCTCCTTCACCAGTGAATGGAGGAGGCAGCTCCAGCTCAGGGGCTCTGGCTGGCCTGAAGGAAGCAGGATGTTCTGGCAGCCCGTGGAGACTGGTAGCTTAAAAATGAGTCCAGTGGGGTGGAGTTAGATGGGTTTCAGTGCTAAGGAGCCAGTTGTGACTTCTCACTGGGGTATAAGGACTTGTTCTTCCCTTGAACAGAATGGTGCTCTTTTTCAGTTCCAAAAACATGAAAGCTGGAGATGGCTCCAAGCCAAGGCCAGGATTAACATCCCCATGGGGGAAAGCTCTGCTTTGGTCCAACTGGAGTGCAGATCCAGACCTGGCACCCATCTTCAGGCACACACTGACCAGGTTCCTCATGTCCGACCTCTGGCAGCTGCTTTGCTTTCTGAAAGGGTTCAGGATGAAACAGCAGCAGAAAACATTCCTGGGCCTTGGGCAGAGCTGGATCAGGATTTCACAGCTCAAGTCTGGACTTTTGCAAACAAAGACCTGAGTGAGTGGAGTCCAAACCTCTTCAGAATCCCTGTCTCACTGGAGCTGCTTTGGGCCCATCAGGCCACGCCTGCTGACAGCTGTGCAGAGCAGCTGGAGGAACATGTTGAGTTAGGATGGAGTGCCTTCAACAGCAGCCTCCTGGATGGTGCTGCTTGGTTATTTACTCTTCATGGAACCTTCCCTTCCTCCCGTGCCATTGGAGAGGGAGAGGAACCCCCAGAAGCTGCTGGCACTGCCCCTCTCCCATGGGCACAGTGTTTTCCACAAATACTGACCTGCAGCCTTAGGGAACAACTGCCCAAGGTGAGACCTCAGAACAACCTCCCCAGGGCTCCTGCTGGCTCCATGAGTTTCCTCATCATCTGCTCAGGAGCTGCCATGGCAATTAATAAGGCTAATCTAGATGCACCATTGTTAGCATGGCCAGTGTGGTTAACATCTCCTCTGCCCTGACTTACTTCAGCAAATACTGCAACAGCTTCCTCCAAGCTGAACATGCATTTAGTCATCAAAGAGCTTGCAAATGACTAATAAATATGAAAAGAAATTGGGGAGCAGCAAAAATTTCTGGACCAAGATCAGTCTGTACTGACAACTGCTGCTTTTCCTAAGCAAAAGTACCCTGCAGAGTTTAAAACAGCATCCGACTTCAAAGCAGACAGCTCTCCAGATGGAGCTCACCACCCCTGCAACACCCTGGGCTTCGGCAGGTTCCGTGCATTTGCAGAGGGACAGTGGGATTGTTTCCAGAGAAGGGAAGCACAGCGGCCTCTGGGAGCCCAGGGCTCGGAGCAGCGTGTGACTGATGCACTCCCCTCATGCTGGGGGTGAAGCTGACCCCTGGGCTGGCCTCCCAGCACCACGGGCAGCCCTGTGTGCCTGCTCTCCTTTTCCAAGGGCCAGCGGGAGGGAAGCCTCCCCTGTGAGCTGTGTCTGCAGCTGAGATGAACGCGGGCCCTGCTCGGTGGGATCCAGACACCCTCCTGGGCTGGAAAGCAGGAGCCAGAAGTGCTGTGCTTGCAGCACAAGGAGTTCACCTTTCAGCTCTGTTGCAGCAGATTCCCAGCTCAGGGCGTGCAGGCAGATGCTGTGAATTTCATTTTAGTCACCCTGGTGCCACCAGGGGAAGGGACCTGCAGCCTGGCAATGTGCCCTGTGCTGGGGTGCCCAGGCTTCCCCTCCCAGGCCCCCCTGCATCCCTGCTAGGGGATTTCTCCACAGCTGGAGAACTGCGTCTCCATGGGTTTAATTTCAGGGGTATTTCTGCAAAGCTGCCTGGTTGTTTGTTGATTTATTTGCTCGTGCTGCAGGCTCCCAGCCCCTCTGAGCACTTGCCCTTCAGTAACGCCAACACCAATCTCGGATCACTCCAGATTCAACTGCTCCAACCTCCTGTCTGTGGCCAGTGATTTATTACCACTCCACTGCCTGGAGTCCTGACAAATCCTTTTTGGTAATTGCAGGAGGCCAAAAAATGAGAGGATAAATAAACCTGACAATTAATTCAGCTGTTACTCACACAGGCACCTAGTGACACTCGTTCCCAAGTCTGTTTTGAACCCAATTCTCCCCAGATGGCACAGAAGCCAGGCAGAGCTCAGCCAGCCTGGACACCTCTGCCTCTGCCCAGCACCCTTCAGGGTCCCAGTGCTGATAAGAGCCAGGCATCCCACCAAAAGCTGCTCTATTTTCCTTCCAAGTTATTCCCAGCTACCCCGTCTCATCTCCTGCCAAGATCAGCTCTTTAGCCCTCTGCTTCATTATCACAGAGCAGATATGATTTCATGGCAAATCACAAGAGCTGATGGATGGCTGTTTGGATGGCAGTTGTCAGGAGAGTATAAAATGCTTCCTGCTGTACAGAGCCCAGGACAGCCTCTGGCCAGAGGCTCTGCTGGTGTGTGAGGGCTGAGGGCCACCGTGGTGGGAGCACACAGGGCTGGGTGCTGCCAGCACAGAGGGGTGGTGTTCTGGTGGGATTTGAACACTTTTAGAAAACAAAGCTTGCCCTGCTCATGGCTGGGTACCCCAGCTGCCTCCCAGTCCCCTGCATCACCCACAGGGCACCTGTGGGACAGTTCTGGTGCCCAGTGCAGTGTCCTGGGGTGCACAAGGACAGCCTCCACCTCATGCCCTTACCTCCCTGCTGTTGTCACTCAGCCTGGCATAGCTAAAAATTGTTTTAGTTTTTGTTTTCTTGTTTTAATTCTTTCCAAAAGAAAAAAATTTCTTTAATCCTGACTAAACACCAGTTAGTCACCAGAAGGTCAAAATGCTCCTCCACCTTCTCAAAGGGCAAAGGTATCAAGGGCATCTTTTATCTTCCCTTTCTCCAAAACTCCCATCTGCCACTTAAAATACAAGTGAGTGTGGATTGCTAGCATATTTTTATTGCTAGTTTTCAAAGCCATCTGCTTTTGTCCCATTTCATTTTCATCTCGTTATGTAAGAGCTTTGCATGTAGACCTAAAGTTTTCCATCATTAAATTCTAAGTGTTGGCCTTGACTTGAGAGATTTCCCACCTTCTCTTTCTTCAGCATCAGTGTGAATTATTGACCAGGGAGAGGCTGTCAGCCCTTGTCAGCATTTAAACCCTGATGTGAGAGGTTGAACAGCCCAGCTCCTGTTTGTACTGGTTATTAACTTACTCTAATTGCCTTCAGAGTGGCAAAAGCCTTTCCATGAAGGTTATTCAACAAAATCTCTGGTCTCAAGAGATCTTCAGGCTGATTTTTAAGAGCCAGCAGTATCTGCCTGGTGCATTGCCATGGCAGCTGGTTGCTGGAGGAGCACATGGAGACAGGAGGAGGCAGATTTGGGCAGTGTGGGTACGTACCTGGAGGGATTTCAGGGCGTTCTCAGCAATCCAGATGATCCAGGGTGAATCTCAGCAGCATGGAGAAAGAAACCTTTTGGATATCCCTTGGGCAGACAAAGCAGTGCTGGCAGAAGGCAGGGATACACCCTGGCTGAAATGCTCATTGCTGTGCTCAGGAAAACATCATTTGTGTGAAATCCCTTTCTGAGCCCCAGGAAAGGCAGCAGAAGGCCCTCAAACCACCTAACAGCCATTCAATGGACTAAATTCCATACAGTCATCAATTAGTGCTCATGCACAGCCATCCCCCTCGGCCCAGGGACCCCCACCCTTCCCTCCCCACCTCAGTCACACCCTCCAGCAGTGGGCAGCGCTCCCCAGCCTATGGCACCACTGTGGGAGGGGGACCTGGGGACCCCCAGCTGAAGCTCATCACACCTCATGGGACAGGTGCTGGAGGTGAAGCAATTTAGACCCACAAACAGACCCCAGGACTTCTTAACTAGGTAGTCACTCATTAGCCTCCCACAAAATTTCCTACAGCCCTGGGTGAATGAGACACGGGTCTAAGGGTGCTCACTGTGCCCTCAAACATGGAAAAACACCTGGTGCCATCAGCCCTTGGTCCCCTCAGCCCATTCCACCTTGGGCACGCCATCAGTGCCAGCACAGGGGTCCCTTCACCTCCCACCCCTCACCTGAGCAGCTCGCCCTGCCCAGGCTCCCACACACCCACAGCAGGAGCCGCTCTCTGCTGCCAAAGAAGTTTGGGTTGGGTTGGTTTGTTTGTTTGTTTATTGTGTAACCAGCACGGAGCGGTCGCGCGCTGTCCCCGCCGCGCTGGCGGGCACAGGAACAGTGAACAAACCTTCAGCAGAACCTTCAGCAGAACCACCCCTCCCCTCTGGAGCAAGCTGTGGAATTATTTACACCTGGTGGTCTCTGCACAGCCCTGGCTGTCACAAGTCCCTCCACAGCAGCTGTGCACAGGCTGGGTACACACACAGAGATCTTCCCCTCCCAGTACAGTTCAAGAGACAAATTGTCCAGTGATTTGTTTGCGTTTGTACAAGTTACAAAGTTGGTAAAAGTTAAGTTTAAACTCGGGGTTTTGGAATAGTTTGAATGTTTCTCCTGGATTGCACAAGCAGAGCCAGCAGCATGAGGTGGTGCTGTCAGACCCTGCTGTGAGATTTTGGGGTGCTTGGGGATGCCCTGCTGGGAGAACAAGGGGCAGAGGGGGAAACACCAGAACCTGCAGGAGCAGCAGCTCCTCCCTTCCCAAAACCACCCTCCCCTGAGCAGGTAAAGTGGAGCCATCCCTCTGCAGCCTCCAGGTCCAGGGGGATCCTCACCAAGCTGCTCTGGCCTCCTGCCCCACACTGCCAGCTCACTGACGTGACACAAATTAATTACCCCGCAGCAGGAGGATGCTCTGCTCCTGCAGCACAGCACGGGGGCTCAGAGCTCCCCAGTGGGAGCTGCTGCTGTTCCAGGGCCCTCCCCAGAGCCCTCCATCCCTGCCTCTGCTTCTGGCAGCTCCAGGAGGGGATGGGCTCTGTGGGGACACCCAGCAAGACACAGAGCACCAAAAACCAAGCAGTGCCGTGGCCAAGTGTGGGGCTGAGCTCTCAGCAAGGGGGGATCCCACTGGAGCAAAACCCACCTGTCCTGGCCTCAGCTGGTCCCCTGCACCCCTGGGCTGGTCCCAGCCAGGATGGGGGTGCATGGCACAGCCAGGGCCTGAGCTCCTGCAGAATCTCAGTGTCAGCAGTGTCACCCCAGCACCTTCACACCCTCCCAGCCCACAGCACACACTGCAGGTGGGTGACATCTGCCCAGCCATCCCTCCAGCAGCAGAGCCACAAGGGCTGAAACAGCCTCAGCAATACCTTGGAACTCTTCTGCCGTGCTCGTGGCACAGGCTCAGGTACTGCTGTGCTGTGGGCTCCTGGCCAGGCTCTTCTCTCCACCCCACAGCTCCTGTGCTGCCCATGGCTAACAGGGAGTGCAGCCCAACCCTGCCCAGGCAAGGCAGCTCTGCAGCTCCTGGCTGGAGCCCGTGGCCCCTCCTGATGTCCCCACACCCGGCTGCAGGGCTGGCACGGGGTGCCCACGTGGTGAGAGACCCAAAAGCCACCCAGTACCTCCATCCTGGCGTGCTGCACTACCTACCACTGGTGAGAGCCCCAAGGCAGCAGCTCCAGCGCCCTCCTCTCGCCCCTCGGGCTCTGGCAGGGTCTGTGGTGCCACTCTGCCAGCTCTGCAGCCACTCACAGCGCCTTCCTGCACTCTGCAGACACCACGCAGCACACAGTATTGCTACTGTGCCAAGTGGGAACTTTATTCTTTGTTGTGGTTGGGGTTTTTTCCTGTTATTTTTTCCGAATCAGCTAAGGAGGCGGCTTTGAAGATGGGTCAGATTTGGATAATTCTTTTTTTCCCAGCAGAATCTGCAACATTTTAATAGCGTTTTGCCCAGACATCAGCTCTGTGAGTTTGTACAGCTCAGAGCCACAGAGACACCAGCAGCAATAACCTGGGAACGCAAAGACTTTCCACATCGCTTGTGCATTGTCTCGGATTTTTTTCTTAAAAAAAAAAAAAAAAGCACAACAGAAAAGACACAAACATTGATGAACATTTAAAAACCTGTACATTGTAAAAAAACAAAACAAAAAATAAAACCCAACAGAAAAAAAACCAAAAACAAACCCCAAACAAACAACAAACACCATCATTCTCTTGCTTTGAAATCAGAATCAACCTGGGAACGTTGCAGGGGGAAAAGAAAGATCCACGGGGAAGGTGACGGCGCCTGAGCCCGCGGGGCTGGGCCGGCCTGGGGCTCCTCTAGCGTATAGAATGCAAAGCATTTAATACATTTTATTTTTTTTTCTTTTTTTTTTTTTGCCATTTGTTTTCCCCCCAGAGCGAGAAAGCAGAAGTGAATGAAAAAAAGTCTAATATTTTTGTTCTTTAACCATGTAACTGCAGATATGAGCCAACATCATGGAATGAAAAAAATAATGTAAAGTAGAGCATTCGTGTGTATCACAAAAATACAATAAAAACTTTTTTTTAACTTTTTTTCCTTTTTTTTTTTTTTTTAAAGTTTCCTGTGAACTCCCTGCCACGCTGGCCTCCTGCCCACTGTGCCCCTGCCCTGGCCAGCTTGGAGGGCCTCTGGAGAATCAACGTCTACAACCAGCAAAGGTGTGTGTAACGGGGGGCCCTGCAACCATGGCAAGATTTTTGTTTGGTTTTTTTTTAAACTAAGTACATACATTCTCCTGACTCCCAGATAACTTTGATGGATCACTGTTACCTTCTTTTTTTTTTTTAAACCCTTCCATACAATGGACAAATGCATCAAAGCCTCCATGTAAGAACAGAACCTCTTTTACAGCATGTAATACTGTGTTTTGTTTAAGTCCTTCCTTGCGTAAAATATTGACATAATTCACTGAAGGTATCAAAAATATACCCTGTAGACCAATACAATTTACAATTGCCTTTTCTCACCATTCAGAAAACAATGCACTTAAAGCAACCGAGCCCCTGGGCGGGCAGCGCGTGAGCCAGCCCGGGACGTCCCTGCCCGCTCCGAGTGACCCGGGATTGCTTCCATCCAAGGGACCAGGATTTTTTGTGGGTTGTTTTTTTAAGAAACAGCTCTTCGCTCCCTCCCCTGCCCGCTCCTCCCAGCCGTGTTCCAAGCGTGTCGTCGTGGGCTGATGTGTCTCGTGACACGGGAATGCCGGGCACGCGGCCCTCGATCGGCCAGGGAACCGACCCGCGCCGTTCCGTCCTCTTTCGCTTTCAACCGTTTTTTGTGGGGTTTTTTTTTAAATCTTTTCTTTAACCCGCTCAAGGTTTTGCAATTCTGAGGCACATCCCCATGGCCGGGTCCGGGGGAGGATCCCACCGCCCGCTGCCAGCTCTCAGCTCCGCAGGACATCCCGCAGCCCCCGCGGGACGGAGCCACGGAGCGGCCGGGACGGACACACGGCCGCTCACGGTCCCTCTGGAGCACGGGGGCACCGCCCAGCACGGCTGCCAAGATCGAAGATGGGTTCCTTGGGTTTTGTCTCGTTAAGGCTTTTTTCTTTTCTTTATCAGACTGAAGAGGATGCAGAAATTTCCAGATGTTGAGAAAGAAAAAAATAACCCAAACAAAATTAAAAAAAAAAAAAAAAAGGAAAAAAAACAAACTAAAACCATCATCCCCACCAATATGGCTGGTTGGGAGGGAAGGGGAAAAAAAAAAAAAAGGGAAAAATGAAACAGCTCTGCTCCTGCATCTTCGCTCGTGAGAGCCGGCGGGGCCGGGGCGGCGGGCGCTCGCCCCGGGTGCGTCCCGCTCGCTCCCCGTGCCCCGGGTTTGGTCGCCGTCTCCCTGCCCCTGGCTCCTCTCATTCACTGTCCGAAAGGGTTTCGTACTGGGAGCAGAGCAGGGGCTTGGGCTCCTCGTCCCAGGCGTGGTGCTGGCTGCCGGGGGCGCCCTGCGGCAGCGGGGCGCTGGGCGCTGCCGTCACCACCCCGCTGGGCAGCCGCATGGTCAGCGGGTTGTAGGGGAACGGCGTCGAACCTGCGAGGGAGCACAGAGTCAGCTGCAGCCTCCCCGGAGCCCCGCGAGGGCGGCACGGCCGCTGTGGGCACCGTCCCCTCCTGCCCTACCTGCGGACGACGGCCTGTCCTCCCAGACGCGGTTGGTGAGGGGGGTCCTGCGGTTGCAGTCGCCCTCCGAGTGCACCGAGGACACCGAGGGCGGCCGCTCGCCCGAGGACAGGCCCGGCGCCGGCGACTTGGCCTTGCGGCTGTTGGGCCTGGCAGCGATCTTTGGCTTCCCCCCTCCTCCTGCAAAGAGAGGCACCCGCTGTCACCCGGCTCGCTGGGACAGCACTCGGGGGGTCGGGGAAGGGGTGCGGGTTCCCAGCGCTTCCCTTTAGGAGCTTTGCAAAAATGGCTGGTGGAGGAGGAAAGCTCACCGCGGGCCGGCGGCAGCGCGGCGGGGAATGGCGATGGGGCGGGGGGAGGAGGGTTCTGCCCCTTCTGGGCTGCTCCACCGTGTGGGTTGGAGCCACCAACTGTCCCGTGGAGGGACGTGGGGCAGGAGAGGCCATGTGGCTTTGGCCGTTTCCCTGCAGGATCTGCTCCCAGTCTGGCTCGTGGCTCAGCCCACACGGCTCCGTGTGCTTTCCCACATGCACAGAACCCCCGGGAGCTGCAGGGGTGCCAGAGCCCTGAGCACACCCCCCGTTCTCATGGCCTACATGGCCAGGATGGTCTTTCACCCCTCCTTACAGCAGAATCCCTGGGGATGTTCAGCCAGGTTTTAAAAGGTTTGAAGGCAGAAGGGGCTCTGTGGGGCAGGGGAGCCCAGGGAGCTCCCCAAGGGGGAGGGATGGATGGGCTCTGCATCCCACCCTGCCTGCCCAGCAGCAGGCAGCCTCCACCAGGCAGGGGGAGGCACAGCTGGAAGAAGCTGCTGGTTTCATGCAGGAGCCAGAAAAGCTTTTCTGCAAAAAGCTTCAGAGTGCCTGGTGTTAGCTGACCCAGAGAAGTGTGAGCTGACCTGGAGGAAGGTGCACGTGTGCACCCAGGATCTGTTCCTGAGCCAGGGGCTCTGTGCCTGGATTCCTGAGGGTGATCCCTGGCAGTGGTGTCATGCTCTGTGCAGGGCACTTGCATGAGGCACTCTGCCCTTGTGAGTGGGGGACAAATGCTTCCCCCATCGATCCCTGGTCCCTCTCCTCCCTCCCTTCCTTAAGTGGTAATTTGTGCAGCCACCCTCTCATCTCTGCTCAAGTGTCCCCAAAGCTGAGCAGACCCTGCCATGGGGCTCTGCAGGCCCCACCAGGGCTCATGGGGCAGCTCACCCCCAGCTCTCCTCTCTTATCATCCCCCAGGCATCACTTTTAGCTCCCTTACAATCTCCCTCTTGCCCCAGGCACTCCCAGATCCCATTCCCTCAATCCCAGGTTGGATTCTAAGCTGACACCCCCAGAGATTGGAGAGGGAAATGCCACCCTGCCCTGTGTCCTCCACACAGCCCTTCTCAGCACCTTCCCCTCTTTTGGCAGCAGCAATCCCTCTGGGGATTTACGGATTGTTGGGGCTGGCTATTTAAGTTTATGCCTTTGATTTTTTGGATGGCGGGGAGGGGGGGTTTCCACCCCCATAAACTTCTCCATTGTGTAAAAAAATATAGGAAAAGGAGATATTAAAATCCAACAAATAGGGAAAGGAGCAAGTCAGTGGTTTAGAGAAAGCAACAGCACCTTTGGAGACTATTAAATTAACATCAAACAGGATTAATCAGCAGATCCACAAAGCTCAAAGCTGGGGGAGGGAGGGGAGAGAAGAAAACCAAAATGAACAAAAATGGGGAGGAATAAATCCCCCTGTAAATGGGGAGATAAAAGGGCTGAGAATTAATAACACAGAGAGAGTGAAGGTGGAGAGGGCTGCAGACCTGGCAAGGAGCGCACGTCCTCGTTTCGTCCATCAGCAGGAGTTATGGGCATAGCAGCGGGCAGGCTTGCACTGGCATTCAGAGAGTTAAAAGCATTGGCACTGAGAGGTGAGCGCTCTTCCCACTGCTCGTCATATTTACCCATTAGGGCTTTCCTAATTATTGCCTCCAACCCCATGTTGGTACTGGAATTCTCTTGGACCGACTGGCTCCTACAACTGATTAGCCCTGGGAGATACGGGAGAGGGAGGAGAGAGGGGTCGGGAGATGGGGGGGAGCCAAATGAGAAGAAAGATGGGGGGGACGGGGAAAGGGGGAGAAAGGAGACAAGGGAGAAGGGAAGAAACAAACAGTCAGCACATTCTCGCAAAGCAACAAACTTTGTCATCTTGTTCTTTAAAGCACTGCGATGCACCCTCCTCCTCCTCCTCCTCCTCCCGCTCCATCCCGCCCCGGGGCTCGGCGGGGGCTGGCGGTGGGACGGATGGGACTCACTCAGGGGTCTGGGCTTTGGGAAGGTTGGCCAGGGGCTGGGGACAAGGGTTTGTCACTGAGCCCCAGGGAGCATCTCCAAGGAGCAGGGGCTGCGCTCCCAACCCAGCCAGGCTCGGCATGGGGGCGGGAGGAAAATCATGTGGATGTGGGGTCCCTGTGCACACACAGCAAAAGTCAGTGTGCCAGGAATTTGGAGGCCGGGGCGGTTTCCCATAAAGGAAATCAGGGAAGGAAGAAGGAGTACCCCACAAAAACACTTATGAGAAAGACGTGCCTGGATTTGGCCCTGGGGTGACAGGGTGCAGGCAGCCCCCAGAGCTGCCGGCGTGGGTCGGGCTACATGGGGAGGGGGGAGCATCCTGCTGTCCCTCCTGGTGCTCTCTGCAAGCCCCCTGCCCCCCTCCCTCCCCAGGCAGGGTTCCCCGGGCCAGCCTGGCTGCGGGACAGGATGCAGAGGCGAGGTGTCCGCGTGGGGTGAGTCTCAAGCCATGCAGTTATGGAGCAGCACCGCACAGGGACCAGAGGCTCAGCCACCGGCATTCCCGGGGTGGCAGCCACAGGGAACAAGCAAGGGCAAAATACAGACACGAAACTGCCAGGCCCCCCAGCTGAGCCCATCCTGGGGTAGTTTGTTCTGGGATCCCTGCCCCTCTGCTTGGA